CTTGTTCAACTTTTGTGCCGAGATGTCCAGCACCTTTCCTGCCAAACTGCTTCTAGCCAGCTGGCCCCTAGAGTGTACTGCTGAATGGAGTTATTCTGCTGCAGGTGCAGGCAGGATTTTTGCATGTGCCTTTTGAATTTCATCATAAACTTTGTTTAGCAGATATATTTGTGTTGTACGCTTGATGGGCAGCTGTCAGGCTAGGAGTTGGCAATACTAAGGATCCTAGAGAAACCAAGCAATGACTCATCTTCTCTCCCTGCTTTTACAGCTCACCATTCCCACCACTTTCTCCACTTCTGTTCTCATGGCAGTAGGATTCAGTGGGGCCAGGGGCTGTATTGTCTGACTGTGATTTTAATGAAGGGTGTTAATTTATAGTTTGACATTTTACATAGTTTGACATAGTGTTGTCATAGTACATAAGTGGTTCTAATATGAAAGCAATTTAACAAGGTAATTCTTCATAAGCTACTGTGGCATAGCTATTTTTGTGCATATCTCCAGTTACATACTTCTCTATGGCTTAGTTATTGAAAAAAATTCCTCAACTACAGCAGATGCTTGATCATACTCCAAAATGTGTCCCTCCTTTAAACTTTTGGAAATGGAATGTTCTCAGTTTTCCTTGAAATCAGAACAGTTCCTTTTGACTCTGTGACTAACTGCTTTTTTGCTAGTGTAAGCATGGGTAGGTCTGCACCTACAGACATTATACTGATACATGTGTGCTGACAAGGCTAGGCAGCTTGTGCTAGTGAAACAGTTTTGTTTATAGCTGTTATTTGCAGGCAGAGGTTTGGTGATGCTGTTTAGATAGTAATACACTAAAAGAACTAATATTAGGGAATATTATTTTGTTCAAAACGAGAAATGCCCACTTATGGCATGAACTGGGAGAATCCTTCAACCCTGGGAGAAACCACGGACAAATGCTCAAATAGACAAATACATTGTCTCCCTCGCATTATTATTTGATCAACCAGAATACAGGTTCCATTTACAAAGTAACTGAAAGTGTGAGTAGCCACACTGCTTTGTCTGTCTGCTGGTTGGTCTTTTCCCTTCTCTCCTTCCCTAGTCTGTATTTCACACCTTGTCAGAAAACTGAACCTTCTGGTTTGAGTGTATTACTATCTTAAGCTTTGAGTGGTAATATTCAAGTGTCTGCATATCCCATTTGCAGAGTGCTCAAACACTGGCCATAATGACAGTTGGATTCTTATCATATTGACTAAGAACCGTGAACCCCAAGATGCGCATCATTGATTACGCCTTAACTCACCCCCGCCTCACTTGTGGAAGAGAATTGATTGCAAGCTGTACCGTGAATGCTTTGTAACAGGGCAATACAGCTTCAGATGCAGGAGCATTAAAAAAGTTTCATACAGTGTCAGTATAATACTGCACTAGCTATTCCTTTATTTTCTTTTGTTTCTAGGCTATTCAGGAACAAATGAAAATCCATGGACAAGAACCAGTTTCTTTTCAGGATGTCAAGGTTAGTTTTACTGAATAGAGTACTACGTGAAATACTTGAATAAGCATTTTGTAATTTACTTGAGTTCTATGGTGGTTTCTAGGTTGTTGTATATTTACTTGCAGAGTAGTAGAGGTGAACTGACTTGTCCTACTCATAGGCTTGAAAACGTCTTTCTATTCAGCAATTGCTCTGTAAGAAATCTGGTATGCAACTGTTCTAGTAGTTTCCTTACTAGCAGACAAAGTACCTGTTAAATACGTGTCACTGTGCCTTACACTTGAAGATACTGGGTATGTCTATTTTGTGGTTCAGGATCATCCCTCAGAGGGAGGGGGTGGACTGGTGGCTGAAAAAATCTGTCTATAAAACTGTCGTTAATTACTGCCTACTTTACATTTAGCAGTTTTAGTACTTAAAAAAAAAAGTACAAGAGTGTCTACAAAACTTAGCTCATACAAGCAAACTGAGTTTCATGTTTCCACTTTGAGGCCAAAGCCTCCCCAAAAAAGTGAATTCTTATTTGAGATGTGGGAGCTGAGCACAATTATATTGTGCTTTGCATCTTAAATGGTTTGGGACTTAACAGCTTTTTTCAGTAAATCGGTGTGGGTGGCACTAGTTACCCAAAGATCATTCTGTATATGGTATAAAGTAGCCATTATTCTGCTCATGAATGTGTGTGGGTTTTTTCCCCCCAATTTTGACTTTTCTTTCATAGGATGAAATCTTTGATATGGTGAAGCCTAAGGATCCTTACAAAATCTCCCTTCAAGACTTAATCAATAGCAGTCAAGGAGACACAGTTACCAGCATTCTAATTGATCTGAATGGGTTCTGGACATACGAGAACAGAGAGGTCCTTGTGGCAAGCGATAATGACAACACTGCTGATGTTGATGATACGTGACTTTGAACAGGAGCAGACTGTAGCCATAGAGATATCTCAGTCTGATGCACCAACTGTTGGAAGCTGGAAACATTCATTATCTGAATCCATGTCTCTCCCATTTTACTTCCCTCCCCTTCCCTTTCCCCCCATATAATATAAAATGTGGTATGTAATGGGAATTGCAGAAATAATTTCTGAAACCAAAAAAGCAAATGTTGCTTAAGGGGTAAATTTTTTTTTTAAATAAATATTTTTTGAACTTTTTCCCTCTGTACTAAGCCCTATTGTTACTTGAATATTCTATGGATGTGGTTCTCGGTGTCTTCAGCACTGGCCTGTATCCACGCAGCCATCCCAAGCCTCCCACTGCATTCTGTGTGGCTTCCTCTTATGATAGCACTGTTGAGCATTCTGTTGTGAGGGCAGAAGTCTTCGGCGGAGGTAAAGAGTTTAGGCCTCTTTCTTTTATAAATGTCCAGCTTTAAGTGCCCAACAGAAAGGGTAAGTAACTATTGGACTGACTGAACAGTTACCTAATTCTTCAGAGGTTCATTAACAGAAATAAAACTGCACTAGCTTTAGGTCTAGTTAAAACCAATCCAAACACCTGTATAAAGGCTTTCACCCACTTAAGCTCCTGTGCAAGTATCTTAATGTGATTTAACTTAATTGTACAGCTAAGCTACAGCAGTAATTAAAGCAGTGAAACTCTCTTACTCTTTCATCAAGCTGTAGAAACATTTCAGCTTTCAGATAAAGTTACAGTAGCTCTAGACCAGAGACAGTTGCAATCCTTCATTATTTATTAGCTTGAGGTAGTGCTGAATGCATTGAGTACGTTAACAAGTACTCTGTGATATTGTAAAGAAGGCGTGGGGATAGTGTATTTTAAATTTCACTGCTTGAATGTTCCACCAGGATGTGTGACTTGGTAAAGATGAAAACAGTGAACAGGCCCATGCTCCTGTGTGCATGCATAAAGTTTCAAAGGCCACACAGTTTTAAAGGAAAAGCCATAGTCAACTCCCAGTTCAAAAAATTATATTAAATATAAAATAACCAGTTAATGCATTTACAGAAAAATTAAACCATTATGAAAGTAACCACTTTCGTACAGTTTGCAAAAAACTGAAGGAAGGATTAAGTTAAGGCACAGTGAGTACAGTATTTTATACAAAGAAGTTTAAACCCAAGGAAGTGAGAGCATTTCTGATGCAACAGATAGTAGGGAGAGAGGGGAAAAAAACAAACACAACTGACATAAATTTCTTGGCAGAAAAGCAAAGCATCCTTCAGCTGTAAAGGTTTTACTCTTGAGCTTTGTGAGGCTTTCTATCTTTGACAGTATAAGAGCTCCCAACAAGCTGTTTTCCTGTGTATTCCCTGGTGTTTAACGCAGCTTCCCCTTGCAGATGTTCAGGGCTAAGGAATAATCTTACACAGCTGCCAGCAACCTCTGTCTTACTCTCTTCTTTGCCTCTTTTTAATTGTATCAAAACAGATGGAATAGAGCTGATGATTGAATCCTCTACTGAAGATTTTCTGTAGTGCTGGAACACCAAGGGCAGGTGAGAGGACAAAGAATTTGTGCCCTACAGGACATGAGTTCAGGCAGAGGGTTGTCTGAAATACGTAACTGGAGTTCTGGAAACTAACAGCTGAGTTACCTGGCTTCTGATGTTACAGCAGGCCCTTAGTTGGTAGTGGGACCAAGGCCAGGGACATATGAGGACACCCAACACAAAATTTCACTGAAGACTATATTTAAATTTTTTTTTTAGAAATCTCAAGGACAGAAGTAATGTTTCACATCGTAACTAGGGCAGGTTCTCTGCTCCTTTATGTACAATTCTCTATAGAAAGTGACTGGGGCACTGACATCTGATTGTCGCAAAGTAAAAGGTGAATGGTTTACAAGGTCTAAGTGGAACCAACAGTCATTGCAGTAAAATAGCCTTAATTGGTATTAGAGCTACTACCCATGTTTCACTTAAGACAAAAATAAAAACTACTTGCTGTTGCAGTATTGCAACAAACTGTTTTGTTTATTTAAGAAAAAGGAAGAATCCTAAGTTGGGTTTTGTGATGTCTATCTATTTATGTATTCTGCCATCTGTAATGGCATATCCCTTGCTGGTAATTTAACATTAAACAAATAGTCTGTTTAGGTTATTCAAGTACACTGACTCAGGTAATCTACATCCAAAAAAGTTGTCATAGTTCTAAGTACCATAGGCAGTGTCCAGTGCGTTCAGTATTATTTAGCAAGACTTCAGTTTCCCAGGACTATTCAGAACATGTAAAGTATTCAAGCAAGTGGGTCTCTTAATTCTTGGATTTGGAGTGAGAATATCTTCCACTGATGCTAGTTCTGTACTTTGCTACAGCACTGAATGGAGCAGCTGAGCTCTATTAGCATCCAAGGGTGTTGGTACTTGTTAGTAAGTTCTTAAGGGTGTTTACAGCCTCCTTTAATTCTTTTTTTTTTTATTAAAAAAAGTCAGTGGACCCTTAAATCTCATTAACATTAAATCTAACATTATCTTTTGTGTTCAACAACAGAAAAAAAATACATGCATACAATAGTGACAATAAATAGGGGAAATCAGACGCTATTATCATGACTTGTGAGTTACAGGATATTGATTCCTATTAATCTATTCATAGAGAGCTGAGATGCAAACAATGTGCAAATCAGAAATAGGTGTTTAGAAGAAGGAAACAGCACTGCATCTGCAATCCACAGGTGTTAGAGAGACAGCAATTCAAAGAAAAGACATTTTTACTTGCTTTACACAGAAATTGGCTCACACATTCAATTTTAGACCAAATGTTTGTAGTGCAATTTTCATTTTAAGTGAAGTGCCAATTTGGCAGAATGCCACAGCCTTTATTAGCCAGACAGACAGAACAGACATCACCTAGCTCTCTCCTGATCAATAAGAATGCTAGAAGTTGCATTTCACTGAACAAGTATAATCCTATTTTTCCTGTTCTTATAGCCAGATTGTGACACCTGACACTTCCTATTTCCTACATTACACAGAGCTTTACACTTAAGGAGGGACAGGAACTACATCTTGTTTATTTTCCCCAATGGACTGGCAATCTCCCTCATTTTCAAAGTTTACATTCACGAATGAAGTGCATGCTGTTGCTTCAGGCTGGTCTGTCTGGACAGGAGCTTCAGCTTGTGGCTTGTTCTGCTGTTCCTGATGCTGTCTTTCTGCTTCTTCTGACATCTTGTTTTCCTGTTCCTCCTCTTCTTCCTAAAAACAGATAATCAGATTTATAAGCTACTATTTACCACTTACATTCACTTTAAGTCTTTCTGTAAGAGCATACCAGTTCCTGTTAGAAGGCAACGACATTTGTTCCACTAGAAAATGGTCAGTAGTTGATCATAAGATGAGGTATATTCCAGAATTCCCATTATGGAGGGGAGGGGCAGAAATTGCCAAAAGTGAAGGATTGAATTGTGTTGAACAAGCACAGAAAAAATGACTAAAAACTGCTTATCTAGAAATGTGACAATACCAACAGTGGTAGGTCCACCTTCTCTAAAGCTTTTTCAGCTCTTAATAATAAAGAGCTATCAAAAATGAAAAATAAGTAGTAAAGCTTTAAATATGTTTCCCACCTCTTCCAAATGAAGATCATTAAGGGCTGGGTTTTTTTTTTTTGCATAAAGCATTGGCTACCTATTGGTCATTTCCAGTTATGGTTTACAACAAATGGTATAATCATGTTCAATTTACCCTTGACGCTTTGTTGAACATGTTTTAAGAGTTGGAAAGTGTCTTCCTCGCAGCTGCCTCTTTACAGTGTGCAGTAACTGCTCTATCCATCTTTCTCACACTGTTGATTTGAAAATACATTGTACAACAGAAACAAACAGAGCCGTGGCCAGGACCCAGTTCTAAGACTGACGAGCTGGTGAGAAAAGGCTGATGGATAAGCAAGCATTAATCGTGCATCAAAAGAAAACTGAAGGCAAGCTGAAAGAGAGGGTCTTAAACTTCATTTTAATGCTGGAATACAAATTTCATTTTTTTTTTAAATACCAAGGAAGGCAAGTTGGGAGAAAAGGAGTGCAAGAACCGTTAAACACATACCTCTCTCTTCATTCTGTAGTACTCATCAATGGCATATTGGTATTTTGGTGTGCTTATCCCCAGAACAGATGCAATCTTTTCCCCAAGGAAATCACACACTAAAAAATAAAGAGAGGTTTACATACACTTAGTGTCCAGAAGAAAATTCTTAAGCACAGTTTTATTTCAAAAGGTATCAGCATCTTTCCTGAATGGTTTTCCATAGTCCTACTTCACTCAAAAGACAAAACCAAAATCTGCTAGGCTAATCTACTTATATGTAATCATTAGCTCAATGTATTAATAATTGTTCTTTAAGATACAGAATGAACAAATGGAGAACAACATGGAAGTTAATGAAAATCTAGATGGTGGTAGTGTTTGTTTAAATTCTACTAGTTTCAGCTTTGGATCTAGGTTTGTTTTGCTAGGGGATCAGTTAAAGGACAAGCCTTTAATTGAACTTTAACTGAAAATTAAGGTTAGACAAAAATACATGGCCACCAACTGCACTGGCACTTTGGCCTGATGGTACCAGCAAACTAGAGTTATTTATTGATACATGCATACTTCAAGTCAGCAGCAGTCTTAATAATGCTCTGTGTTGCATACTAATGGATTCATAACATATTTAGGTTTCAGCTGTCTCAATTTTCAAGCTGGAGGCTCCATGCAGTGCTACTTTGCTAAAACAGGTAGCGCACAGTCAGAAGCATGGAGAAGGCGAGCTTGTGCCAGTCAGTCTCTTTATCATGATGATGGCTACAGCACTGGTTCTTGAGTAAAGTCAGGCAAGAAGTTAAATATATTGCACTTCAAATTGCAAATCTGCCCCTAGGATGCAAATGAGTTAGTCATCTTCAGGGAAAACAAGTTAGAAGTTAGCAATTGAATATTCAATGAATATTCACCATTTAATTGTAAATATTGTGATTCATGAATATTCACCGTAACTAATTTTATAGATATCCTGGCATCCAGAGCTCTGTGCAAAAGACCAGTTCAAATTACAAATGTAAAAAGCAAAACTGAAGTGGGAAGAAGGAAGTACTAATCTTCAAATTCATAAAAGAATCTGAAAAAAGGAAAGCAGTATCTACCTTTGTGCAGGAAGAACAGATATGACAAGGAACAGAATTACACTGTGTTTCTAAAAATAAGGATAAGTTAACAAATAGAATAAGCCACCAATAGTTTTAAAAAATATTCAGAATGAGATATACAATGACAGAAACTCCATAATCTTTGTCCAAAAAACCTCACTAAAGATACTTCACACCTTGGGAAGAATACAGACTAGGACAAGCATTTTTAAAACTTGGCAAAATTTTATGAGGTCCACAGGTCAAATAAACTATGCAGTGAGTTTAAGACTCTTGACAGTAGTCTTATTTTTGTTTATTTTGTAACCTCAGAATTCTGCTGTAAAGCACAAGACTAGATGTCTTCTTGGGATAATTTCTAGTTGTTGTCTTCATAAAAACTGTCAGTTTAGTTACTTTAAACAGCATTCTTTTCAGATAATGTCACACAAAATGGTGCCATACAAAGCCTAATAGAAAGCTGATACACCACGTATCTCCATATGGAGAAAAAGAGGGGGGAAAAAAAGCATTGAGCTAAAGGGTATTTTCTGTTCATTCTTCCACTCAAGAGTTGTTGATTGAAAGTAAAAAAAAGTAGTGCCTAAGGCAAGAGAGTACATCTCCACAGATTAAAACACAGATTCATTCATACTTTTGAAAAAATGGCCAGTAGCTCACAAGATGATTTACAGTCTGTCAAAGCAACTTTCAACATTCCATTCCTGGTTTACCCAAGAATTAAATAAAGCAATACCTGATAAGGTTGATGTGGCAACTCGCAGCATGTGAAACCACAAGTAGGGTCCCCATGTGAGTGTTGTCTGTAAGAACAAGAGTAGTATGAATACATATAGCTGTATGTTCATGGCACATAATACTACATGCAAAAGCTCAAACAGATTGAGAAGATCGACAATGTTTCCTGTTTGCCAGCTACCATAGTATTTTTGCTTTAAAGTAAGTCTAGACCAGACATACATGAAGCAAGATTATCACCGTAAGATAGCATTGTAACAACGATTTACAGGTGGGAACGTTTGTTTCACTGGTTTTTGTTTCTCACTTCCAGACTTGGGAAATTAGAAGCATCCAACTCAATCCCGAAGTAACTCCAATAACTAGAAAGACTTTTCCACAATGTTCTGAATTCTATCAGGCCAAGTAGAGAAGTGGGCTAACCAAGAAGTCCCTCATTACAATTACTGTTTAAAACCAAGCTTTCAAAGTGGTCCCTGAGCAAGAGGCTGCTTCCAAGTATTTACAACCAGATATGAATTATCATTTGGAATTGCACCTGAAGAACAAAACCAGAAACCATGAGGAAGGGAGAGAGTTACCGCAGCCCTCTGAGGGAGCGATGGACAGGGTTGACAAGTAAACGGCCTGGGGTGAACAGCGAGGAACACAAAATGAACAAAACAGGGTTCAAGTGGGGTCACCTCAAACATTTGGATCTACGTAAGGAAGTCTTTCTGAAGTGCCTGCACACAAGGCACACAGCGTGGGAAGTAAACACAAGGAATTGGAAATCTGTGTGCAGCTGCAGGGCTGGGATCTTGTTGGGATCCCAGAGATGCGGTGGACGGCTTGCATGACTGGAGTGCTGCAACGGAGGGATACAGACTCTTTAGGAAGGACAGGCTGGGAAGATGAGGAGGGGGAGTTGCCCTTTGCACAACTATGGTGTATTCACGACCAGCCTTTAGACTGCAGCCTCCAGACAAATTGAGATACCTACACACAGGAACTTAAAGAAAATGTAGAAATTAATGGGCATACATAGGCTATTCTCTTCACTACGGAAAGAGGCTGTATCCCTTTAAAAAAAAAAAAACAAAAACAACAAAAACCCCAACAGGCCATGTAATAAAAAGAAGGGGAAAAGCAGATTCTAATCTAACAGGGAAAAAGCTGTAGGCTTTAATTTTTGTGAAAAGGCAAACTCAAATTTCATAGTGAACTAAAACATGTCTATATTTAACAGTCTGTTGTATCCAGGCAAGCTCTGTTATGTATTTCCCCGCACAGTAAAGATGTCTGCAGAGGTACTTTCCTTGTAGAAAGTAGCAATTAAAAGTGTCAGCTTTTATTAAATGAAACCCATTAGCTCCACTCAGTTACATATGTATTTGTAACTTGTTGCTAAAAACTGTTTGATAGTAACCATTTTCGGTAATCTTATTTAATAGATACCTGTACAGGACAACCACTATTACTGTAAATAATACAGCTACAGAAACTAGTCGGTATAGCCTCAGTATGCACCTACACAAGCTACTAGAGTTCAGTGCTTTCCAAGCAGAGCCTCTACAGATCAGTGCAGCAAGAAATCATCCGTCAAGCCAGAAACTCAAGTTGGGCAGGCTGAAAAAAGCCAGATGCTATGTATTTTTGGCAGTGGGTATGGAAAATGCCCTGCCAAGGTAAAAGTGTAAGCAAAACCAGCTGCTATCCTGCTTGCACAAAAGCACCACCAGCTTGTTGATTACGCACTCAGCTGGCAGACAGGCTAACGACAATCATTTCTGAGTTTGTTCAGCTGAAGAAGTCAAGAGAAGTGCTGGAAAAGCTTGTTGCCACCGGTGCAAATAATGGCGTTGACGAGACTCTGTAAAATCCTTCATGATGAGGTGACAAGGTTAAAAAGCATTCACACAGCGCGCAGGACAAATGAGGGCCTGAGGTGCGGCTGTAACCAGAAGCTACAAGAGCCCCCTTAACATTTAAGAGTGAGAATACAAGCTGAACTTCAACGTGACAGAAGTAACTCAGACACAGAATATTCTAACATGTTTGTAGTAACACAAATATAGGGAACGTCTGAGGCTCAGCAGAGACAGAGGTGCTGCCTATTTCTGCTGTTCCCCCACCACAATTAAAAACCAGTTTGGTATGTCAGGAGCACTTCTAAGTTCAGCTTCACAGAAACCTCTGCTTTCTGACAAAGCTCAATCAAACACCTCTTCACCCCCGCCAAGCAAGGCTTTGCCAGTCCCCTCAATTTAAAAAAAAAAAGCATCCTTTCAAGTGTCTCAGAAGGCCATATAAAACCTAAGAGAAGCTACTTTACACAAATTCAACAGGAGAAGGGAGATGCCTTGGGGAGTAAACCACCAAAACCAACCAGGAACAAGGGAACCCATGCAGGGAATAATCCTCCTTTCTTTCCCCCCCAGCCCTTAGTTCCTCAGGGTAAGTTTGGGTGGTTTCCCAGAGCTCCTGGAATGGCAAATGTAAGGAGAGAAGAGGCACTGGAGAAAACCAGAACCATTCGAGTAGTATGAACAGGGCTGTTAGGCAACAGCTCAGTACAAACTCATCCTACTCCGTGAAGTAGCTTTAATGCATTAAGCAATACTGGAAAATGGTACCCAGGTCAGGTCCTACTAATGCTCAGTAAGAACCACATACCAAGATACTGTATGTCAATCTCCTTTGGCCAGAGAAGCCTTAATGTTCCTTCTTTAATAACCGCAAGGACACAGTAATACTGTATTTCTTCACTGGAAACAAGGGGCAGCAGTATGAAACACAGGACACTGGTTTATTATAAGAGGACAGTGTTTCTACTGCCACCGGTCTCTTCAGCATACGTTTCTACAATGCTTAATTATACTATTCAGCTATCCTGGCTCTAGTTTGTTGTTTAAAAGGGAAAACACAATGGTTATGACTAGAAGAATACAAAAATTCTTAATATACAATTTTAATCCAAGTGCTGCATTTTAAGTAGGAATGAACATAATGGATTGAACCATTGATAAAAGCATGAGGGCTCTGGTTCAACAACAGAACGTGATTTTGTTTCCTAGTATGGGGCTGCCAAAGGGAGCACACACACGCTCCCTTGAAGTTCTGAGTGCACCATGTTCCTAAACAATCCGCACCTATACTTATTTTTGCCAGATTTCAGTCCATACGAACACTTGGAACTTCCCAAAGAACACAGGGTTTCTTTTTGCCAGAGAAAATGGCGAAGTAAGGAAAAGAATAATTTCCTGATTTAAGAAAAAACAAATCCTGTATTTAAGAGTTAACATACACCACCAAACAGACACTTTTCAATTGTTTTCTGTGCCAAGATGGATTTTTAAATTTTAAATAGGTCCTTCAGTCTATGCACCATGTAAAACCATGGCATCTAAGACAAGCCGGTGAAAAGAAGATCAGAACACACACGGCATCCTCCATCAAAAAGCTGCTACCATGTTATGAGTAGCTATTACTTGGTCAGTAACTATTTTTCTTCCTCATCCCCAAATTCTTGAAAGAAAATTACAGTTCTATGGTCCTCAAGAGAGGACTTGTTGCTATTTGAAGTTAAGCTCCTTTTACAGAATCACAGAATCACAGAAACAC